AGTCCTAAACAGTTCAACAGAGATTATTGAAGAGTTTTGGAAATTCCTGTGGCATGCCCTGTACTGCTGGAGATGGTGTGTGCACATCTGTGTGTGTATCTGTGTGCTGATGAAAGACCCAGACACCTCAAAGACCTCAGTGTTGAGAATAGAGGTTGCTCTTTAAATTATGCTGAGAAGTGACTTTTTTTATGTATCCTCCTGCTGCATGGCCAAAAACTCCTCCATCTGTATTATAAAAAAGGGAGCCTGACCTCAGGCTATGATCTAAAATATATAGAGTCACACAAGTTTACTCTTGCAGTGGTTCTTCATCCTTCCTGTGCCAATTCTTTGTCCTTTTGCTAAATGAAACTTTAATGGCTGGGAAAGGGCTCTGTGCTTTCATTCCTGGAGCAAAGCAGTCAAGTGCAAAGCAGGACAAAGCCTGCAGAAAACAGAAAGCTGAAAAAGATTCTTCCTGGCCTAATTTGCAAGTTCTGGGCAAGGCAAGGGTGGAGAGGAAGCTGCACAGAGATGGACACTGGTCTCTCCAGCCCCACAGTCAAGGCAGGGAGTTCAGCCACTACTCACAAGATTATGCAGAAGAGCTCTTCCCTGAGCTCAGCAATTTCACCTTCTCCCAGGGAATGCATCGCTGCCTAATCCAGTATCAGCCATCTGACATATTCCAGGTAGTTTTAGTTTGCAGCAGATCTAAATCTCGTGGGTGAATGACACAGCAGCCAGCTCAGCTCTGGCTGGTCTGTAGGTTTGTACCTCCATGGCACAGGGATGTGGAGGCTGAGGCTTGGGCGTTAGTGGGACACCGAGGTTGTTCAGGGTGAGCTCAGTAATGTGAAAAGAAAAAAAAATAGAAAAAAGAAAGGTGAAGTGTTCTCCAGAAGATGGATGGATGGATGGATGGATGATGGATGGATGGATGGATGATGGATGGATGGATGGATGGATGGATGGATGGATGATGGATGGATGGATGGATGGATGGATGATGGATGGATGGATGGATGATGGATGGATGATGGATGGATGGATGATGGATGGATGGATGGATGGATGGATGGATGGATGGATGGATGATGGATGGATGGATGATGGATGGATGGATGATGGATGGATGGATGGATGATGGATGGATGGATGGATGATGGATGGATGGATGGATGGATGGATGGATGGATGGATGGATGGATGGATGGATGGATGGATGGATGGATGGATGATGGATGGATGGATGGATGGATGGATGGATGGATGGATGGATGGATGGATGGATGGATGGATGATGGATGGATGATGGATGGATGGATGGATGGATGGATGGATGGATGGATGGATGGATGAAGGATGATGGATGGATGGATGATGGATGGATGATGGATGAATGGATGGATGGATGGATGATGGATGGATGATGGATGGGTGATGGATGGATGGATGATGGATGGATGATGGATGATGGATGGATGGATGTATGGATGGATGATGGATGGATGATGGATGATGGATGGATGGATGGATGGATGGATGATGGATGGATGATGGATGGATGATGGATGGATGGATGGATGATGGATGGATGGGTGGATGGATGGATGGATGGATGGATGGATGGATGGATGGATGGATGGATGAAAAAACCCCAATTAGTGACCTCAGGTTCATTAGTCAACTTGAGTCATTTGGACCCAGGTCAATAAAAACTGCTCTTCCTCACTCAGCACTGAACTAGTGTGGGCAGCAGGCTTCAGATCAGCTCCTGAAGATGACTCCCAGCTTCTCCTTTGCCAGGGCCTCCCTTCTTAGCAAGACCAACCCTCCCTCACCAATCATTTCTCAGCATCCCTGAAGAGAAAACCCAGCCTGAGCGTGCTTCCTCTGTCATCACGCTTCCCTGGGAGTACAAAAGGAAACAGAACTAAGCCCGCACTGAAGCTCTTCAGAGCAGCAGGGATTCTAATTCCCACAGCCCACCACAAGAGTCAGCCACCACCCCATGGTGGGGTCCCACCTTGCAGTGGGACCACGGGGACCCCTGGCATGGTGTGATTTCTCCATTCCAACACGGGGAGCCACGGAGGGATTTGGAAAAGGATCCTGAGCCTTGGGAGCCCAGGTCTTCTGCTCTTAAGCCACTTTGGAAAGCCCAGACAGGACCCCTGGAGATGAAGATTTTGAAGTGTGATCAAAGAGACTTGACATAGCAAGGAGGATTAATGTTTCTGCAAACACACAGGGAAAGCTTCTTAGTTATTCCAGTGGGGTTTGTTCCAAAGGGGCCTAAGGGAGTTAGGCACTTAAAACTCACTCAGATCCTTTATTTATTTGCAAATCCTGCGCAGCAGCAGTGTGACCCCTGAAGTGTTGCTTTCCGAGCGTGTCTGCTCGAGTGAGAAGCTGAATTGATTGTGGCTGTATTGGTGGCCTCCTGCAGCTGCTCCTTCTCCACATCCCAGGGAGTGAGCCTGCCTGGGAGACAGCTGAGGGCACAAAGTGTCTGAAGAAATCAGGGAAGACACCACACTGAAACCATGAGGGCTGTGTGTTCAACAACAAACCCTTCCTGCAGAGGTTTGTGCTGGATGGAAGGGGCTGGAGGATGCTGCCAATGATCCCCACCTGGGCCAGCACAAACCCCAGTCCTTCCTGGTGGGTCTCACCACCATCTCTAAGAAAGTTGCAGGAATCACTTATTTCATGACTTTGGTTACTCTTCACTGATCACATCTCCCTCCTACATTTTTTTCTCCATCACCAGCTTTTACAGTCAAGAACTGTGCAAAGAAGACACAGTGAGGGCTTTGCTCCCCAGCTGGTTACACACTTGTGATGTCCTAATCATTCCTACCACCACTTCCAATCCTATTGCACAGGGCTCCAACCTGGGCAAAGCAGAATGAGGAAGCTGGAAAAAAGACAGAAACAATAAACAAAAGACCTGTTTTCACACAAATACTCCTCATCATAATAATGATAAATACTACTAAAAATAATAATAATAATAATAATGAGAAATTCAGCTCATGGTCCAGCTGCTTTCCTGGCCTTCCCACAGGGTCCCCTGGATTTTGTGTCACCTCATCAGCACAAACTGGCCAGGGAGCCGTGGCACAGCGCAGAGGGGTTGTTGGGAAACGTGGCACACATGTGACATGCTATTGTCCCTAATTTGATTAATGAAGCCATCACGCTAACGGAGCGTTCCACACACCCCCAGCACCCTGTCACTAACCCACACCAGGAACTTCCCAGCACAGCATTCCTTCCCCAATACTCGCCTTTCCCAACTTTGTCAGGTAATTGTTTATGAAAAGATGAATGTATACAATAATACTGGGTGAAGGGAGCTGATGTATGTGGTGTTAATGAATGAAATAATCAGTTTGGTAATAACTGGCATGTGTATTTGTCAAAAGGGAACCAGCAGGACATTAGCATTCTGCAGCCACCAAACCTTTATCTCCTGGTCTTGTGTTTGACAACCGCCCCCAGATAGTCCATGAATAAAATACAGAGTAGCACCCAGACATAATTAAACTGCCAATGTGGATGTACCTAAATGAACTTGATATCTTAATGACACTAGATAGCAGGGGAATAATGAAGGCGGTGTGAAAGGGACGTGCATAATGAGCCCAGACACGGCGGCTGGCGCTGCCCGCGCCTCCTGCTCAGCACAGCCAGCATCGCCGCTGCTCCCACGCCACACGCGGCACCTCCACCTCACCCATGCCAGGGCTCAGAGTGCCACCTCTCCAGGGGCAAGGGCTGCTCCTACAGTGCTTGCCAGGCTGTGGCCACAGAGCCCTCCCTCCTCCAGAAATGCCTCCTTTGCCCCATCTCTCTGCACCTGCCGCATCTGCTCCTCCAGAGAGCTCTGGCACGCTGCTGTGCAGTGCAGACGTGGGTTTGGGAGTGCTTAACGTGATTAAAGTACCAGACATGCTCCTTTTTAATGTTTTGTGTTTTTTCCCCAGCACAGAGATGGTTTTCGAGGAAAGAAGCTGCTCCTTGGGGATGGGTAGCTCAGAGGATGTCCCAAGATAACTCAGCAGCACAGAGCCACAACCCCTCATTCCCATCACATCCACAGACACTGAGCCAGATGTGTCTTCTCCCAGCACCTATGCAATCTTTCCTCCAGAGGATGCTGGGCACCCCTGACAGTCATCCCAACTGTCCCCAGAAAGCTGGTCCAGTGTGAGACAGGAATTTACACCTCAAAAGCAGATTTGATCCCTCTCCTCTGGGGCAGCACCACACTGGGCTCCTAGCCCACACTGCTCAAAAGGTAATTGTCACTTCCTGCTCTAATGGCTCCAATTTTAGCAGCAAATGAGCGAAGCAGAGCAAGTATTGGTCTTATTAAAGGAGTAATAATGGCAAACTGGAGCATGCACTACAGGAAGGAACACTCCCCCAGCACACAGGACACAGCCTGGCTGGTATTTGACAGCAGCAGAGTCCCTGCCTTCTGCTGACAGAATTCCAAGGTATTTGAATACAATAAGCCCAGCATGTAGGAAAGCAACTGGTGCAATAGGCTCGGCTTGACTCTGTTGTGATGTAATTGTTTGAAGGCTGAGAACTTGTCACAAAGCCAGCGTGGGAAATGTGACCCGGAAGAGGGCCTGTCTCCCTCGATAAAGCAGATTGGGATAAATTGCTTTATGCAAATGGAAAAAGTACAGCAGGTTGGGGGGAAACCATCTTAAATCCCTGGAAGTGTTCAAGGTGAGGTTGGATGGGTTTTTTAGCAACCTGTGCTGGTGGAAGGTGTGGAAGGGGCTTGGAATGAGCTGGTCTGTAAGGTCCCTTCCCAGCCAAACCATTGGTGATTCTCTGATTCTGTGGAAATCCAGTGTCCAGCACAGCCAGGAGCAGCAGAGTGCTGAGAACAACCCACTGCAGGAAGCACAGCAGGTGTGATGCTGGGTATTGAGATGGGATAAGGAACATAACTCTGTTTGTGCCAGCAGAAGGGAAAAGTGGCACCATGCAGTACAGCCTGCCCAGGGAGGTGACAGGAGGAAGCTGGGCACGGCCTGAGCAATGACAGTCACCACTGGAATGATGCAGCCAAAGTGCTCTGAGCTCCTCCTGCCAGGTGAAACCCTCAACTTACTGCACTCAGCCCCTTTCCCCTACTGGATATTTGTGCTTGGCTGCCAATTCTTTAACCATTGCCTTCCTTCCTAGGAAAGACATCCCTGTGGCGCACCCTCATGAGGCAGTAATGGGATTTCATTAGATTAAATAACTCCAATGAACCCCAGAGACCAACAGCACTTTAAACACGGAGCTCGGAGTTAGAATTACTGTTATTTAACATTGATTAGATTACAGGGTAAATCCAATTCCTCCCTAACCATATGCTGGCTATGATTTGCCTAGTGGGAGATGTTAAGGATGGCATTCCTGGAAATCTCTGCTGAGGGAAGGGCCCGTGGCTGAGTCAGCAGTGTCAGGGTGACCCATGGGCTTGTGTCTGAAAGTCCTCCTGCAGAGCAGGGCTCAGGGGATGTCCCCACTGTCCCTGCCCTTTGCTAAAGCTGGGGGTGCAGATAGATCTGTATGTGTCACATCAGCAGGAATATCACCAGGAAATAACTGGGCCTCTCTGACCCACGGCCCTGCCTTGGCTGAGGCTGTTAACCACTCCCCAAAGCTCCCTCCTGACTCTTTTCACCCTGGAGTACCATGGCTTGTGGCTCCCAGGGAGGGATGTGCCTGGAGCCTCCGGCACTGCCCAGCACCAGAGTGGCACAGTGTTCCACATCTCCAGGAATCTGCTTTACAGCTCTGGGCTGTGAGAGGCCTGGAAAGGGCTGGTCAGGGCAGGAGTGAGACCATCTCAGGGTTGCAGTCCATCTGGAGGCTGGCAAGGGCCCTCTCCCTGCGGACAGCACGGGGATGGACGGCTCGCAGTGCGCTCTCCTTCCCAGTGCGTGCCACGTGCTTAACGCCTGGCCTGGGAGGTCAGCCAGGACACAGCTTCCTCTGGACATCTTGGCCAATGCATTCTGGAAACTGAGGGGTTGAAAAACTCCTAAATGCATCCCCCACAGCCTGACTGCAGGGATGGGAGCACCAAGAATGGGAACACACCCAGGCACCAGCTGTGACCCTGTGGCTCACTGCCACTCGGCCAAACAACTCAAGTGCAATTAGGGAGCCTGGGGCAGATGAAGCTGTAAACTCCAGGGTGCAGCCCCTCAAAAAGCACAGCCCCCTCAAAAGGCACAGTCCCCTCAAAAGGCACAGCCCCCTCAAAAGGCACAGCTCCCAGCTCACTGACCCTGTCGTGTCACACCGTGGGGACAGTGGGTCCCTGGGATGTGACAGGGGCCACCACCCTCGGTGCAGGCAGGGCAGAGCTCAACCTGTCCCACACCAAAGAAAGCAGCTCTGGCAGGCTGTGCACCCAGGGCTGACCCCGAGCAGGGGCACTGCCGATGGTCAAACTCAATTAAGTGCTGTGTGCTGCATCTGGGTCAGGCTGGGCAGCCCTTCCCCAGCCCCGGCCTCTCTGCTTGCACGTCCTGCTGAATTCTTTAGGAGCTGTTCCAGAGGATGCACCGGGGCTGGGAGGGAGGGTGGCGGGGCCAGGAGCAGGCAGAGCAGCATCACGACTTGTGACAAAGGCAGCTCTGGGTCTGTGCTGGGCTGATCAGGGATCACACCCTGGGCATGTAAAAACAAGATTTCAGCTCAGAATGACTCCCCTGTCCTGTCTCTGGGCACCTTCAGTGTCTGCCTGTGGTCAGAGCAAACACAACCCAGGGAGGGCAGTGCTGGAGGGACAGGTCATGGTGCTCACTGGAAACTCAGTCCCAGCCCTCCCAGCTGCACCTTGAGCAAGGTTTTGTGAGTTCTTCAGGCCCTGACTCGCACCAGCCAGCTGAGTGTGTCCCAAAGCCTCCTCAGCTGCTCTGGACATGACACAGACCGTGCTGTCCAGCCCACAGCAATGCCCATGCTGGCCCCTGGACCTCTCTCTCTGCAGGTGCCCAACAAAATCCCACCCCTGCTCCTCAGGAGGGTCCAACTGAGCAGCTGGACAAGAAACATTCGGTGTCTGTGGGACACACATTGACTTTCAGCCATTCACACCCGCCCACAGACTGTTTTGGGGGTTTTTGTGCTTGTTCAGAACCTCTGGCAGCCCTTAACCTGGGCAGGTTTGCAGGGGGCAGCTGGGCTGATGATCTCCAGGCAGCACAAGGGCTGACAGGGAGCAGGGCTTTGATTGTCATTTCTACCCAAATTTCCCAGACCATGGTGAAAGTGGAAATGCTCCATTCTTTGCTACCAGCCACGTGATGCCAACTGGAAAATCCATCCCTGCACACCCAGCTGGGTTTTTAACCAAACAACACCAACCATAATTCCCCTCCAGGAACAGTGATGGGATGAGCCTCCCTGTGATCCACAAGAGAATTCCTGGGCCAGCAGAAGGAGCAGAGCCCTGGGTCCCTCCCAGATGAGACTTGGCAGCTCCCTGAGCTGGACTTTGTTTCTGGCCCATCACACTCAGCAGCTCCTGGTGCACTGTTCTTTGCCAAGTACTTTCAGGGTGCTTTTTAGACTTCTTTAACTAAAACCCTCCCATGGCAGCCCATTTCACAGCTTAATCTCACACTGTTTGAGAAAGTCTCTAATTCTGCTTCTTTCCAACCTGTTGCTGATAGTACAGATGGAGACATGAGAGGGGTAGGAGGGACAGCCACTGCCTCAGTAACCACCCCATGAAATCTCCTCCCAGAGGCTTCTGGAGCTGTGGAATGAACATGCACAAGCCAGGGCTCCCCAGGCCCTGCACAGGAGGTGGCTGTGCCAGCTGTCACCCCAAACACGCTCCTCTGGCCCAGCTCTGCATGTCACTGCCTGTGCTCTGCTTGCTGCAGGCAAAGAGAATTTCCTTTTGTGCTCTTATCCTCCTTTAGAGGTGATGAAGGCTACAACAACCTTTGCCACACACGTACAAGAATGCTGAACACCAGGCAAACATTTACAGGCAAATATTCACATTCCCACAGCAGAGTTCAGCAGTGCAGGAGGACGGGATTATTGCACAATATTCACTTCATGCCTTGCCATGACACGCAGTTTTTGCGTGCAGAAAAACCCGAATTGTCCTTCTGAGCAACCATCTCCCAGCAATCACAGCCAGAGCACGCCAAGCCCTGTGGGGAGGCTCTGCCTGTCCATGGACAGGGAACAAAGGCAACTGGAGCCAACTGGAACAGCAGAGCTCAATTTTAGAATTACCTGAGATGGAAGTTAGCTCAGATGTGGGGACTAGCATCCCCAACCCTTGTGAGAGGCATCAGGAGAACTTTTCCTGACCTCCAGCACAAGCAAGTGGTTGGGGAGCAGCCTGGAGGATGCAGCTGGTGCTGAGGGAAGCTCAGCACACCTTGAACACCCGTGGTTGATGCTTTAGCAGCCAAGCTCCCCTCTCAGCACACTCAGGGGAGATCAGCACTGGCTGAACACGTGCCAAGAGCTCCCACGTGCTCAGTCCTGCCCTGCCACAGGCTCTGGGTGCTTTTCTGCCTCTTTTCCCACGGGCAGAGTGGAGCATCCTCCATCCCCCAGTGCTGCTGATGGCCACAGCACAGCCCCAACCTGCCAAGCACGGGATGGGATGAGCCGTGCTCAGCTTCAAACCTGAGCTGCCTTTCAAATTTATTGTCCTGGGGAAATGACCACACTTACATGGGTTGATATTCCAATGGGCTGAGGGGCAGAGAGATGCACTCTTAATCACAGAGTGGGTCTTCTTCTCCCACCAACAACCCAAAACCATCACCAAGGCACAAGAGCTGATGGCTCAGCTGATCCTAAAGGCCAGGGTGAGGCTGTGGGAACTGGCTGGTTGTGACTGTGTGTGTATTCACCTCATGGTCAGGCACACCTCTGCTGTAAATATTAAACAAATCCCTCCATTCTTATCCCTCGTAGAGATGTGTCCGCCCTGCACAGACTATGGGATGGGGGAATCTAATAACATATTCAGCATGAACTTGGGTATTTGGACAAAGGAGACTCAATCTTGAGGGAAGTGGTCCCGGGTTTATTGTGAGTGAATCGTCCAGGGCAGGAGAAGGAAAGGTGTTTGGGTGCTACTGGTACTAGGGGTAGGGGGAGGTGAGGAGATATGGGGGGTAACATATATATAATGGGGTAGGGAAAAAGGAAGGGAGGCCAGGAAGGGACCAACATTATACAAAACCAAGGGTGGTTCCTGTGGATGCTAACTATAAAGCAGGCAGCACAGTGCCTGTGGAATAGCAGGCTGCTTAATTTCCTCAGTCTGGCCTGAGAAAGTGGCCTGGGAAATCATAAGGAGGAATTAAAACAATCCTCAGAGACAGAAGACAGCCCTGCAGGTGCTGTTTGTCGGTTTCTTGTTTTCTTGCAAGAGAAGTTCAAGGGGTGGTGAACCCCACTGACCAGTGATGGTGATGTGTTAATTCACTGACCAGTAAGAGTTTTACCTTTCTGTACTTTCGTGTATTGGTCTATAAAAGAAGATCTGAGGTAATAAACCTTAAGAAAGAGGAGAAAGAACTCTCCTGATCGACTCACAAGAGAGTCTGTGTCGTTCTTCTCGCCGTTCCCAACAGAGTGACAGGTTTATCCTCAGGGACACACCATATATCTTAATGCTCTGCAACAGCACCGTGGCTCTGCCATTTCCTACCAGCACGGTTTGGGGAAGGGAGAAACAGCCCAGAGAGGCCACTGGCACAATGCCTGTGTCTCACAGAGGGGAGATCTCCCTCACCTGTGGCTCTGGCACATCACCCAGGCTCCTCCTGCCATCCCCAGTTTTACCTGTGCAAATCTCAGCATGTTAATGGCACAATACTAATTGCACCCACTAATTGCTCCCCCCATCCAGGCCTGGGGACCCTGCCATGGGTGCAGGTCCTGCAGGAGCAGGGGAAAGTTGTGCCTTGCTGCACCTGCAGGCCCAGGGACCTCCCAACAGCATCTTATTGAGGCCCAAAACACAACTTGGCAAAGTACAACCCCGAGTCCAGCAATGCTGGAAACCAGAGGGATTCAAGGAGTGGGTTTCCAGCTGAGGTAACAACTCTGGAGCCAAAGTGCAGCTGCAAAGTGGGAAAAGCAACATGTCCTGCTGGCTACAGGGGCCTGGAGCACATCAGCACTGTGGGGTCACTGATCTGCAGGGTGTTTTGGGTGTCTCAGCTGGGCCAGGCACCTCCTTGGCACAACATCTGTCCTGGGCATCACATCTCCAGCCTTTCACTCACTAACTCTGTGCTGGAGGAGTCAGGGCACTCAGCATCACCCAGCTGGGAAATCCAAATGTTTCCTCACTTGTTCTACTGAGCCCATGCTCAGGATTTCTCTCCCTGGAATTAGGTTTCCCAAACAGCCCAGCTCAGACCGTGCTAAAGTGTTTCAGTAATGTCAAAAGGTGCTCTATGTTACAATACAAGAGCATGAAGGCAGAAGTGAAATGGTAATGACAAAATGCAACACTGAGAGCCGAAAGCTGCAGATAGGAACACACAGAGCCACCCATGGAAAAACACAGAAGGCAAAACTATTGATCTGGTGATTTTCCATAAAAGGCTTCCCCAGACAGCTTGGTTTATGGGAGGGAGCCCTCTTCCAACAGGCAATGGCAGAACAAATCAGCCTGGCTTTTTGCAATTTTTAACAAAAAAAAAAAAAAAAAAAAGACCCTGCTGGAGAAAGAAATAAATAATCAAATCAATAAATAGCCAGCTTCCCATCATGGTGTTGCACTTGAACCTGAACATCTCTCCCTGGGGGATGATGTGAGAAGGGTGGTTGTGGAAAGAAATGATCCAGCTGTTAATATCCCAGCTTGCAGCCACCAGCTGTGCTCAGGAACTGGAGTCAAGGGGCTGAGTTGGGAGCCAGGCAGGATCCCAGTGAAGCTGCAGGAGTTTGGTGCAGGAAAGGCCTCCAGATGCCTGGAATGGCCCCAGTGGGATTTTCTTACGCGACACTTGGGCACAGCTGCTCAACCACGGGGAAAACAACCACACGAGGCCTCCAGAGCTCCCCTGGGGCAGCAGTGAGAAGTTTCTCCTCCATCTCCCACCACGCCTGGGGGAGTTGTGAGGGATCTTCATATCCTGCAACAGATGGTGCAGAGAGAGAAGGAGCACATAACGAGTCTCCTCACTTCCAGGAAGCAAGAAGGATGGTCTTGCCACGCACGAAGGGAACCGGTGATTTCTTCTGCTGAAAGATTTCCTCCTGCAGAATCACATTATTCAATGGAAGAAATGCCAGGAATAATTCACTTCCTCGAGCAACTCTATTTATACTCTCACTGCGGGCACCATCCTGCTCACGTAGCTCCTGGCACAGGGCTCAGGTGGGCGCGGTTTGGAGCTGAACGGGTTTAACCCCAAACCATGAGAAAAAAGGGAATTTCCTGGGAGGTGGGTTATGCAGGAGAAAGGCAGGAACACCAGCCACTCTCACAATCCCTGGGATGACCCCAGAGCTTGCATGAACACCCTCACTACCCCACTTGGGGCTTTGTAATGGGGCAAGACCCCAGCATCCAACCCCAGCAACACAAATTTAACTGCAACCTAATTCACTTCCCTCCTAGAATACCTGCACATAATGAGAATTTGCAAAGATTTATGGCCACAACACCCGCCCCTGCTGCCCCTCGCCAGCATCTGCTGTTTCCCTGTGAAAGCAGTTTGGGTTACCTCAGAATTCTCCAGGGAAAAAGCATAATTAGCAGCTCAGGAGTTTCAAGGGGGGTTCATGGGGGGTTATTCTCAGTTTTCTGATCGCTGGTTGTTTGCTCTGAACTCTTTGGAAATGCACCAGCTCCCTTCCCCCTCCCCAGACCTCACTGCTCCTATTATAAACTTCAAAAGGTCAGGGTGAAACCCAAGCTGGGCTGTGGTAAAGACATCCTGGTGGTGATGGTGTGGCCAGAGCATGGCCCTGGACCCCAGACTCGATGGAATGACTCCCAGGAGCCCCCCTGAAGGCAGCAGGACAGGCTATGTGCATAGCTGGAGACTCACAAAATCCACCCAGAGCGGTTAAAGCAGGTGAATCTGCTGCTTCTCTAAAGTTTATCCCAATTTTTGCCATAAATGAGCTCTCACCCCAGCCAGCTGCAGCTTTGTGCTGCTCTCCACGAGAGCTGGCTCTGAGAATTTTACTGACAACATCTTGGACAGCCCAGGCCATATTTTCACAGTTGCTCAGCACCAGCAGACAGGGCCAGGGGAGCTCCATTTCCAAGCATCTCAGGCCGAGGCAGAGCCACAGTGGGTGAGAAAGGTTCTGCTCTCTCCAGGACTGGGGTGTGAAGCAGTACTGAAGAAGAGGATGGGTCTATAGACTTCTGAACTCCCTTCTGAGTTTTCCCCAGTGCAGACCACAGCAACTGGAAAGGAGATTTCACTAAAATCATATTTTGACTTCTCCCAATATGTCAACTCAGGAGCTCACTCCATCATCAGGCACACACAAACCCCAGATAGGAACTTCTCCATTAACAGAAAACAGAAGGGATATGTAGAGATACAAAACACTTGGAAAAAAAAGAAAACCACCAAAAAATAGCAACCCTTTGGGGTCTATTTAAGGAGTAAGAGGGGAAAGAGTGCAGGCCCAGTTCTATGCAGGGAGATCCCCAAGGAGATCTGGACAGTGCCATCCCTGGATAGAACATCCAGTGAAAGGGTTCAGCCAGCCAAAGCTGTGTCAAGGCTACAGCTGCTCTGCCAGCTGGGGTTCACCTCCTTTGGGTGGTATTTAACCCATCAAACCCCACACAACACCTTGTCTGTGCTGGAGAGAGCTGTCACATCACAGCCCTGCTGGTTCCACCTGCAGCACAGGACAGGGACTTCCCCTTCACACGAGGGCAAACTGAGGCACACCCCGACATCTCCCCAGCTTCCAAACTGTTCCAGATGTCTACTGAAAATCCTTGGAGGATCCAAGTCCAGGCAGTGGCAAAACACGTGAGCACCAGAACCAGTTACTGTCTTAACTCAATGACTCCAGCCCTGATTTCCCCAGCATTTCCAGCTCCTTTTCCCCAGCAAAGAAAGGTCCCTTCAGCCACCCACAGACCCACCTCATCCTCCATCTGCAGGGACTCCTTGCCCCAACCAACACAGGCACCCTCCACTGTCTGTGCCAGGCTCAGCCCATCTCCACCTGATGTTTACAGAGAATTAGCTGCACTCTGGGGCCAACACCACCTTTTGTTCCCTCTTTATACAGTACCCAGCCCCGAGAGCTCAGTGCAGGAGGTGTTTGATTACACAGCTAATAAATAAACAAGGACCTTGATCCTCTTCAGCTGTACAAGGCTGCAATTTCCAGAGAAACTGCTGCAGGCTGTGCTTGATGCTGTTAGTGATTCAAATGTGTTTGGGAGATGAGATGTTCCCAGGACAAGAAGGGACTGCTAAAGCAGCCCTTCCTACGTGCAGCAGGGAGTGGAAAACCCAAACTGGTTTAAAGTCAATGTCCAATAACACAGGTCATGTTCTGGGCACACCCTGAACACGAAGAGCTGGTGATTCTTGCAGAAGCAGCAAGGATGGCTGGAGAAAGGTGGGGAGATGATCCCTTCAAGGCAACTACTGTTACAGCATCTCCCTCATGCAGCAGGGATTGCAACAAGGTCCTTCCTGAAAGCCACCTGGTCCTGCTCCACCTTCTATAAACTGTGTTCACTGTCCTGATGTCCCCCGACATCATCCACACACCAACACTCCCACCCTCCCTCTCACACTTACTCACTCACAGAATGCACTGCTGGGTCACAAAGACCTCAAAACCCCTCAAAACCTGACTCCCCCATCCCCAGGGCTCTGATTTCACCCTGCTCTGAGGCACAGAGGATGGGACACAGCTCGAGGTGGGATGCAGCTGCTCACAGCTGCTGTGAGCATGTCCCCTCCAACAATCCTGCTTTTCCTCCACCCCAGACCTCTTCAGCACCTGAGATGTTCTCTGTTCCCTTTGACTCAGAAGCATCAGTGGTTTCCTAGATTACAAAGAAGCAAGGAAAAAAAAAAAACCAAACACAAAACCTTGGAAAAAAATCCCATGAGGACATTAATTAGGAGTCAGATCTCCCCAGCTCTGGAAGCATCGAGGAGGAGTGATGGTTAAACTCCCAACCTGACGGAGTAACTTTGAATTATCTTTCATCTTCCCCTGGATCAGATGTAATCTAATGACATTAACTTGGCTTCACTCTAGTGAAAGTGGCATTGGTGCTACAGAGGCAGAGAGATTAAAACATATGAAATAAATGTTCCTGGGGTGACTGACAGTATAATGGCATTCCAACAGGCAGCTCAATCAGTGCGAGACTAACAAAAGATCAGAGGGAAAGAGCCAGATTCGCCGTATCACCCACAAACACAGATATTTTCCTTTAATCCAGGCTTTTTTTTTTTCCATGACTGGCTCAGCCCCTGTTCTTGGGAGTTTTCCCCAGGCTGTACAGCCGTTTTCGGGTGGGGGTTGCCAGTTGAACTCTGTTAAAGCCCCTGCTCACCTGCTATTGAACTCTTAGCTCAATAGCCTTGTTCAGGGCTGCAGCAGCAATCCCAGCGCTGAAGTCAATGCCAGCATTGTGGGCTGCCCCCTCCCTCCTTTTGTCCCCACTGGCTGAGGGGACTCCAACCCAAAACAGAAAAAGCTCCTTTGGGCACACAACTCCCCTTGATATTCAACCCCCACACGGGCCCACACGAGGTGTCACACTCACCAAATTCAATCCCACAGATGCTTTTTACAAAGTCAGCTTCTCGGGGGGACAGCTGTCCCTTACCCAGGGGCTGCAGGAGCTCCACCCTTACTCCATTGGATGTCCTGGGTGATGTTTCCATGCTCTGTGTGGCAGCCCAGCAGGTGCCCTGCGTGTCACCAAGCCTGTTCCTCGCAGCACACCTGGCTGGCAGCTCCAGCTCAGGGCAGCTGCTGGGGGAGCAGCTCCTCTGTTTCCAGGGGGAACCAGGGCTCTCCTGGTGCCCTGTCCCTGTCCCAGCCCACCTCCAGGCTGCAGTGACACCAGCTACAAAGGCTGCCTGCCTCTTCAATTCTTCAAGAGCCAGCAGTGTTGTGTTCCCTGGGCCAGGGCATGGCTGCCTGTGCCGGCTTCCTGCGGGCGCTGAAAACAAACCCGGGTGTTTATACCTTGGAATGACGCTGTTTAGTCTGACTGCTGCCAAACAGCAGCGCCCACGAAACCCAAGCCTCTGATGGCCGAGATAAGGAATGGGGACCTCTGGCAAACATCTGGCCACTTCCCCAGCACTGAACCCTCATCAGAGATCACAACAAAGCGTGCAGAGAGACAGGTAGCTTTTGAAATGAGTATTTTGAGCAGGCTGGTAGCTGGCACCGCAGCTCTGCCATCGCGCCGGGGCTCTGTGCCTTAGCAAAGATTACTCACACAAGCAAAGCCAGCAAGATCGGGTCTCAAAGGAATAATCCCATACAAAGAATTCACTGTACCTCAGCCTCCAATGGGCTAATAAAAAAAAAAAAAAAATAAAAAAGATGAAACTCAGTACATCAAATACCAGAATAAACAAACTGCAGCAATTAATGGGAGAGCTCATGTGCCAAGCGCTAAAGCAGAAGGATTACACAAACAGCGCACGGGACAGCACGCCCAGTGAGTAAGAGCTGCAAGATCAAGACCAAACCTCTGGAAAATTATATCCCCGACACCGAGGGCTGCACTATGCCCCAAATGCCTGTGGCTCCTCCTCTGCCTAGGTCTGCACTCCTCGCTCAGGGACTGCTTCCAGAAGCAGGTCTATCCCACTGCCATCTGCTCCTCAAAGCTCCGAGAGCGTCTTTGATAAATGAGCTTTTCTGCATATCCACCATAAATTTCAGTAGATGCCACCCCACAGCCATGTGTTTATTTTTCAAAGTCAAGACTTGATTAGAGTTCTTGAGCTTTTTCAGATTCATTTTTAACGTTTCCTTTCTGCTACAGGGTCAGCATGTGGAAATTGGATAAGCACAGACTAAAAATATAATTTTGTAGACAGCTTCAGCCCACACAAAAGGAAATCTTTCTTCTCAAGAGAACCCACACTTTGCAGCCTGCAGAAACGCAGCGTGTTTCTGACATCGGTGGATACACAGGCAAGCTCATCCCTTCCACGTTAAGGCTTCTACATAAACACTCGGACTGTCAGTACTACCCTACTCCACATTTCAGTACCGTCACCACAAGCTGAGCCCAAATCCTCTTCTCTCTGCTGATGGCCGGGCTTTACGCAAAGTAAAACAAGCTCCGGGGGTACCCAAAATCCGCTCCTGTTTGCTCGCTCACTCTAGAAAGCCACAAACACAGGACACACTTTTGGAGACAGCACTTTCACCCTAACCCAGCCTATAGGGATCTGCCGGAAAGACGCTCCTCCGCTAACTTTAAACACACAACAAAAAAATCCCCAACAACTTCAGGGAGAACCCTCTGGCTTTAGCGTTTAGTGGCTAGCATAATAAAACATTAATTCACTGAAATAACCACCCCATCAACCTTTTGCTGGTATTTCGTAGCCAAGGTGAGCATGTGGGGTAGGCTCCTGGAAGTGACATTTTTGGTCAGTCGTTACTGGGATGCAGAAATGTTTACGTGGGAAATAGGGGGGGTTTGTCCACACTGACTACAGGAAAGTGAATTTTAGCGGCTGGGAGCTGCGGGAGGCGATGGGGGAGCAGCCGGGGCGGCTCGGTGAGAGTCAGCCACAGGTTTTGCAAAGAGCCGGGGGAGTATAAAGGGTTTTGGGGGGCTGCGCTTCTCGTGGCAGGGATTAACTCTGCCCCAGCATCCCCGCGCAGCCCTCGGGCATCCGCGGCTTCTCCCTTTGTGTGTGTGTGTCTGTCTGCGTGTGTGTGTGTGTGCTTGTGTGTGTGTGTGTGTGTCTGTGTGTCTGTGTCCGTGTGTCTGTGTGTCTGTCCGTGTGTCTGTGTGTGCCTGTGTGTCTGTGTGTGTCTGTGTCCGTGTGTCTGTGTGTCCGTGTGTGTGTGTCCGTGTGTCTGTCTGTGTGTGTGTCTGTGTGTGTCCGTGTGTGTGTCCGTGTGTCTGTGTGTGCCTGTGTGTCTGTGTCTGTGTGTGTGTGTCTGTCTGTGTGTCCGTGTGTCTGTCCGTGTGTCTGTGTGTGCCTGTGTGTCTGTGTCTGTGTGTGTCTGTGTGTCTGTCCGT